TGGCCACTTTTGTTATTTTCTTTTATTTATCCCTTAACATCGTGTTTGTCTGTCTTTGGTATGAATGGGGTTGAAAATAAAGGCAATTGGGTTTAAAGCACAGACCAAGTAGATTATGTTGTTGTTTAATGTTTGTTCTGCTAAAGTTATTGTTGTGATCGAATGACCACAGACCCAAAACTGAACATTCTAAATTAATCAATAGCTGGAGGAAATCAGCCCTGACAGAAAATTGGCCAAACTAAATTAAACAACAGCTAGCAGCTATCGGCTGGAGAAACTAGGATTGAAAAGGTTAAAAAGGTTCAAAGGCAACCAGTTACAACCAGCCCTTGGGTTGTGTATTGAAGAAGGGTTGATCAGACATTCTGGCAGCTGGAATGCCTGAGTATGTGCACTTTACACATGCTGTCATGGCAACAGTGAGGGGTGTAGGCACAACCCCATTGGATGATTTGAACAAGCTCATGACCCTATTAACCAAATACCACAACATTCTGGAAGGACTGGTGCAAGTGGGTGTTGGAAGTCAACCTGGCAGGGAAGACTCGCAGAGAAGACCGTGTCGCAATCCAAGATGATCCAGGAGAAAATCCGCCCTGACTTACAAGACCAATCTTCGTGGAAGAGAGCATATCATATGTCAGAAAGGAATGGAATCCCAATGGCCCAAGCAAAATATTTGGATCACAATATCCTCCATTCTCAGATGGAGAGAGCTAGAGAGTAAACATATGGGAATTTGGGCAATACTCAGTGTTTTAATAAGGAATATTTTGTTAACAAAATTGGAGAGAAATGGATGATCAATCACTCAGTTCAAGGGCAATTAGGGATGAGCAACAACCAACCTTCTCAGCAATACCCACATTTCACAAAAGAATAAAAAAGGTTTTGCTACATATGTTTTTATCGACTGTCCCTGATTTAGGATGACATCTGCTCGAGGTTGCATTTCAGTTATAGATCTTCACATAATTGAACAGGCAGATTGCTGACCCGCAGATCTTTGGGCACAAAGGCATGACATTTTAGAAACCCTTCCTCATTTTTGGATAAGTAAAGCTACTCATTTTATGGCCCCATTATTCTCTTATTCTTTTTGAAATTTATTTACATATCTTTCTCTCCATTACCTTTCCACTGTTTAACAAATAATAATGCTCTCCAAATAGAATATCAATTGTTTGCTTCTTCCTTAACCCGAACCAAATTGATTGAAATATTGCACCTTTCTTAAATCAATCCTATTTTCTCGACCTGCATGGATTTGCATTTCTGTATCTCCATCTATCCTCCTCATGATTTATAAACCAGGTAGTTCAGCTTCCCTTTGGGAATGTTAATTCTCCTGGATTGTGCTGAGGATGTTTACATTCATGTCCTCAGCCTGCTGCTGCAGTGGTCCAGAGAAGCTCAAAGCAAGCTCAAAGAGCAGAATCCTATCTTTCATGTAGGCAGTTTAGAATCTTCTGAACTCAATACTGAGTTTAATAATATCAGACTATTAACATCATTGGTGCCATCCCAAAGGGTAGTGGGATCCAGAGTACAGGATTTGTTTCTTTTTCTTTCCCTCTCTGCTGCCACTCAGCTCCATCTTTAAGGAATTTGGAGTTGAAGCATGATGCAGCTTGATGAACAGTCGTCACTAGTTTGAACAATTGGTAGCAAGCTCCTCCCAGTTATTAACATCAATGCTGCCATGCTTCAAGGAAAGCGTCAGAATGTCTTTGTAGGATTTTCTTTGTGCTCCCTGGAACACTGACCATTTAAGAGTTGAGAAAACAGGACCTGGCAGAAGGGAGACTTTTCAGTGATCTGAATGCAGCGTCCAATCCATTGTAGTCAGTTCTGCAGGAGTGTGTACAGCTGGCTTCAAGAAGGACACTCCTGTTTGTTCAAGGGTCATTGAATCTGAAGAATGCAGATGTTGATCAAATGTCTGTGGCATTTTTATTGTTGCTCACTGCAGTACAGGAGCTTGGTGCTCTGTATACTAGGGCTTTTGTTGACTTGCAGATGTCTTTGTTGTCAAATATTTGCTGAGATAGTTTGTAGAAGGATGAGTTGGCACAGCTGTGTTGGATCACATCATTGGTGGCATTTTGAGAGAGGTGGCTGTCGAGATATGGAAAGTGCTCAATATTTTCCAGAGTCTTTACTTCAACATATGTGGGAGTTGAGTTGGAAAATTTGGATTTCCAGGCTCGTATTGATAAAGAAATTTTGTTTTGGCAACATTCAAGGCCAGGCTGAGTTTCTTGAATGCAGTATTAAAGGGATCGAGAATGGCCTGCAAATCTGGTTTAGAGTAAGTAACGGCACTGCACTAATCTGCATACTGTAGGTCATGGATGTTTATGATACTCAGGTTAGCTTTGGCATGGAAGTAACTAAGGTTAAAGGATTTTCCACCAAGGAGATATTTAATACTCAAACCAGAGGCCAGTTGATCTTTGATGAGGTGAATAACTACCATCAGGTAGATTGTAACTAATATATTGGTTATCAGGTGTGGCACGGTGGCTCAGTGGTTAGCACTACTGCCTTACAGCATCAGGGACCCAGGTTCAATTCCACCCTTGAGTGACTGTCTGTGTGGAGTTTGCACATTCTCCCTGTGTCTGCATGGGTTTCCTCCAGGTGCTTTGATTTCCTCCCACAGTCCAAAGATGTGCGGGCTAGGTAGATTGGCCATACTAAATTGCCCATAGTGTTCAGAGATGTGTAGATTAGGGCGGTGGGTCTGGGTGGGATGCTGTGAGAGTTGGTGTGGACTTGTTGGGCTGAAGGGCCTGTTTCCACACTGTAGGGATTCTATCAACAACCTTACTTGACACCTGTCCAGATTTTGACCATACAAAGCTTCTGTTAGATCACATCTGAAGTACTGTAGAGGTTATTTTCCTCATTTAAGAAAGGATATAATTGCATTAGAAACAGCTCAGGGAATGTTCACTCATCTGATTCTGTGTTGGACTTAATCCCATTAGAAGAATGAGATGATCTCATTCAAACATTTAAGATCTTGAAAGGACTTGACAGTGGATGCTGATAGGATGTTTTCCCCAGCAGGAGAGTCTGGACGTAGGGGACCCAGTTTGAAAATTAAGGGTGTTGCATTAAAGACTGAGTTGAGGAAGATATTTTTCCTCTGAGGGTCATTAATCTGAGAAATTCTCTTCCCAGAGAGCAGTGGAGACTGGGATATTGAATACATTCAAGACTGAGTTAGATATATTTCTGTCCAGCAGGGAGTCTGAAGATGGGGGGAAGGCAACCATTGATGTTGAGTTCACATTCAGATCAGCCTACACCAACTCCTGTGTACTCACCCCCTTTGCCCTTCTGTTATTCAATTTCCCCTAACTACGACCCTATCTTTCCACTTTCCCTTTTGATCTTCATCACCCCGCTCATCAAAATCAGTTGTATTTCCATCTTCGTCCAGTTTTGAAGAAGTCACTTGAACTTCCCCGCCTGCTGAAAAACACAAAGGCTGATCTGAATGTGACCTCAACATCAATGGTTGCCTGCCCCCATCCTCAGATTCCCTGCTGAACAGAAATATCTAACTGTCGTGAATGTATTCAATATCCCAGCCTCCACTGCTCTCTGGGAAGAGAATGATCCTCAGAAGAAAAATATCTTCCTCAACTCAGTCCTTAATGCAACACCCTTAATTTTCAAACTGGGTCCCCTACTTCCACACTCCCCTACTGGGGAAAACATCCTATCAGCATCCATTGTCAAGCCCTTTCAAGATCTTTGTACTTTTCTTAATATTTCAAATTTCTATCATTGGCAATATTTCGCTTTTGGCTTTTAAGGTGCTCCTTGAAGGAGGAAGTGGTGGAAGAAGGCGGCGAAATTCAGGTGGCGAATATTTATTTGAGTTTGTGCACGCATAGCACCGGACTGCTAATGGTGAGCTGTGGGAAGCCAGAGTTGGAAGGACGCCTGATTCTGTAGGGTTTACTTAAACGAAAAAATAATTTGCGGTCACTTGTGTGAGATCGACTCATTGCAGCTCGGAGGTGCCTTCCGTATAGCTCAGTGAATGTTTTGCCGATTGCTGTCTGGCGGCTCTAGCGGCTGTCAATCAGCGGCGACGTCACAAAGGCCGGCTCGAATGGAGCGGGCTGCAGTGTTCGGATTCCCGGAAGAGGTGACGGGCTCGAGCTGCAGCAGCCGCGGTGGCGGCGGCGGCATGTGTGCGCTATGGAGGGCAAGAGAGTGGAGATTCCAACCGGGGTGCTGGACGACCTGTGCAGGTAAACATACAGCCAGCAGCCTGGGAAACACACACACACACAGAATCCCCAACTCCCACAGTGAGGCACAGGGTGGCTATAAAGGAGGAAGTGAGGGCCGAGGAGGAGGAAATGTGTTCGGTGCAAAGAACCCGACTGACCAAGGCCAAAGTTAGAGTCGGATCCGACTTAAAGGAAGGAAGTGCTTGGGAATCAATGGATGCTGTTTTACATAAATGAGGAAGCGAGAGAGAAAACATCCCGATTTTCAGTCTGGTTACGAAAACGAATTGTGAAACCTTGTACGAGAGGACATTTTGTAATGCGTTTTGTTTAGTGAAATACAAGCCAACAGTACCTGTAGTTTTAAGGAACCTTTCGATTAGTACTTTAAAAGCTTAGGGTTTACACGAAATATTTTTAAACGATACGCGCCACAGTTGTGTTGCGTGTGGGTTGTTTAAAAGTGAATAGTTTTGTTACTTCCGAGGTGGAACTGGTGACAACTCATCTTTTGCTTCCCTTTGGACATTTTTTCTGGATATCCCTTATTCCTAATATAGAATTTAACGTGCAATCTTTTTTTTAAAAGGGAAGAGATATGTAATAATACTTTATACTTTTTAAAAATTCTTGCTGTTTTTGTTTCTTGCCCAGATTTAACATAGAAACATAAAAAATAGGAGCAGCAGGGGGTCATTCGGCCCTTCGGAGTATACTCCGCCATTCATCACGATCATGGTTGATCGTCCGACTCATAGCTTAATCCTGCTTTCTTCCCTTAACCTTTGATCCCATTCGCCCCAAGTGATATACCTAGCTGCCTCTTGAATACATTTCAATGTATTGGCATCAACTACTTCCTGTGGTAATGAATTCCACAGGCTCACCACTCTTTGTGTAAAGAAATGTCTCCTCATTTTCGTCCTAAATGGTCTATCCTGAATTTTCAGACTGTGACCGCCTGGTCTGGACACGCACACCATCGAGAACATCCTCCCTGCATCTATCCTGTCCAGTCCTGTTAGAATTTTATAAGTCTCTATGAGATCCCTCCGCATTCGTCTGAACTCCAGCAAAAATAATCCTAACCTAGTCAATCTCTCCTCATACATCAGTCCTGCCACCCCTGGAATCAACCTTCGCAGCACTTCCTTGAAAGCAAGAGTATCCTGTCCTCAGAAAAGGAGACCAAAACGGCGTACAATATTCTAGGTATGGCCTCACCAAGGCCCTGCATAATTGCAACACATGCCTGCTCCTATACTCAACCTCTCACAATGAAGGCCAACGTACCATTTGCCTTCTTTACCGCCTGTTGGACGTGTATGCTTTCCTTCAGCGACTGGTATACAAGGATACCCAGGTCCCACTGCACACTCCCCTCCCAATTTACAGCCATTCAGGTATTAATCTGCCACCTTGTTTTTGCTTCCACAGTGAATAACCTCACATTTAGCCAAATTATACTGCATCTGCCATTGATTTGCCCACTCACCCAACCTGTTCAGATCATGCTGAAAGATCTCTGCATTCTTGTCACAGTTCACCTTCCCACCCAACTTGGTATCACGTGCAACCTTTAAGATGTTACATTTGTTCCCTCATCCAAGGCATTAATATATATTGTGATTAGCTGGGGTCCCAGCACCGATCCCTGTGGCACCCCACTAGTTACTACCTGCCAATTTGAAAAGGATCCATTAATTCCTAGTCTTTGTTTCCTCTCTGCCAACCAATTTTCTATCCATCTCCGTACCCTTACCCAATCCCATCCGCTTTTGTCCAATGCTTTCTGAAAGTCCAAATATACCACATTGACTCGCTCTCCCTTGTCAACTCTACTAGTTACATCTTCATAGAATTCCAACAGATTTGCCCAGCATGGTTTACCCTTCATAAATCCATGCTGACTCTGTCTGATCCTGCCACTGCTTTCTAAATGCTCCGCTATAAAGTCCTTGATAATGGATTTGAGAATTTTCCCCACTACCGATGTTAGGCATATTGCTCTGTAATTGCCTGCTTTCTCTCTACCTCCCTTTTTGAATATTGGACTGATAGTAGCTAACCTCCAGTCTGCAGGGACTATTCCAAAGTCTATAGAATCCTGGAAGATGACCATCAATGAATCCATTATTTCTACAGCCATTTCCTCAAAAAACTCTGGGATGTAGATTATCTGGCCCAGGGGATTTATCCGCCTTCAATCCCATCAATTTTCCCAGTGCCATTTCTCTTCTAATATTGATCTCCCTCAATTCTTTCCTGTCACTAAATCTTGTATTCTCCAACATTTCTGGGATCTTATTTGTGTACTGTTTTGTGAAGACAGAACCAAAGTATGTATTCAGTTGCTCAGCCATTTCTTTGACACTGTTATATATTCCCCCATTTCTGTCTGTAGGGGACCTATATTTGTTTTCACCAATCTCTTTCTCTTCACGTACCTATAGAAACTCTTAGTGTCAGTCTTACCGTTCCCAGCAAGCTTACTTTTGTACTGTATTTTTCCCTTCTTAATCATTCTCTTGGTCCTGTTTTACTGAATTCTAAACTGCTCCCAGTCTTCAGAGCATATTATTTTTCTTCGCCAATCTGTATGCTTCTTCCTTGGATTGGATACTATCTCTAATTTCCTTTGTAAACCATAGATTGGCCCTCTTACCCATTTTGCTTTTGTGCTAGACATGAATAAACAGTTGTTGCAGTTCCTCCATGCGTTCCTTGAATGTTTTCTATTGCCTATCCACTGTCATCCCTTCAAGTAGCTCTCCCAAATCTATCAAGGCCAACTCTCACCTCCTATCTCCATAGTTTCCTTTATTAAGATTCAGCACCCTAGTCTCCAAATCGACTATCTCACTATCCATCCTGGTACAAAAGTTCTAACATGTCATGGTCACTCATCCCCAAGGGGTCTCGTGCAGCTAGACTGGTAATGATTCCCTTCTCAATACACCGTACCCCGTTTAAGATGGCCTGCTGTCTAGTTGGTTCCTCCATATATTGGTTAAGAGAACCATCCTATGTGCACTCCGGAATTCCCCCTTTATGGCATTATGGCTAATTTGATTTGCCCAGTCTATGTGCAAATTAAAATCACCCATGATCACTGATATTCCCTTATCACATGCATCTCCAATTTTCTAATGCCATTTCCAACATCACCACTGCAGTTTGAGGGTCTACGTATGACACCCACAAATGTTTTTTGCCCCTTGATATTTCTTCACAGACTCCACATTGTCAGACCTAATATCCTTTCTCACTATTGTGTTAATATTTTCTTTAACTAGCAATTCCACTCCACCACCTTTTTACTTTTTGCCTGTCCTTTCTAAATACTGAATACCCTGGGACATTCAGTTCCCATCCCTGGTCACCCTGCAGTCATGTCTCCTAATCCCAATTATATCGTACCTGTTACATCTATCTGCGTGATTAAGTATATAATTATATTATCTATTTAGTCTACTGGGTCAAGATGTATTTGAAATATGATTACTTCAAAAAGGACACATTTTCGACTTCTACTCACTTGGTCAATTTGCAAGAAGTCCCAAAGCAAAGGGAAAATAACATTTATAGTATATGAGAAGAGAATGCTCGTTCATTGATAAGCAGGCTTTGGTTATGACATTGCCTTTGGAGAATGCACCAGTTTATGATGTCTGACAGTTAACTTCTGTTTTGCTTATATTTCAAAAAAGGCAAGTTTATTCTGATCAAAGCAATGCCCTGAGAAATAAACCAAAGAATGGCTGTCATCTCTCTTTATGTTGGAACTGACACAGTGCGTGTGCATGTTATTGTATGTGCAAGTATGCAAAACTATGAAACTGATAATTCTGAATTGATCATTAGCAAAATTCTTAGCACACTCAGGATTATATAGCAAATATTGTTTGATTGTAAAATCACACCTGAAGTTGGGCATTCTGCTGCAAGTAGAAGCTGGTGTTTGGGTATAGTCAGTACCTTGGTTGTTGTGAACAGCTGAAAGGACAAGCTATTTAAAACAATATGCCAGTTATTGGACATATTGCCTACACACCTAGCATATTGAGATGCCGAGACTGAAGTCCATATACCACATTACTCATTTGTGTGATTGGCAGAATTTTCTTTGGCTTGATGGCAGTTAGTGGTAAAAGCCACTTGTTGATACTGCACTGTAGCAGCTCAGACCTTTTAGGTACCCAATAAAATCTGATCATGACCAAAAGTGATGAACTTGGGCCTAATTACGATTTTGCATGATACAAGCGGGAAAAGGTATGATTAGTGTACCTCTGGTGAACAAAAGGGCCCTATTTACAAGGTTGTTGATAAGACCAATCTTGTAGAGCTTGGAATTTCCAGTGGTCTATATCGATTCGTGAAGGTAGGTTTGTGATAGGCAGTAGTAGAGAAGCCTGTAGCTGGATTCTTGACAAGGACATCGTGGAAAAGGAAAACCATTACAAATGTGAATTTGTGCACAGGATGGAACTTATTAAGACATGTAAGGAAATTCCTATGTTTAGCTGTAATTCAGATATGGTAAAGGTATTAACTATACATGGAAAGTATTCAAAGGACAGGAGGTTTGGCTTCATTCCATTGAAGAAATGTTTCTCATGGGTTCGACCAAGATGTTTGTGAGATCTGGGATTGTGGTGATCTGATAGAAATACCATCTGTTTGGGTAGGAGGGTGTTAAGATTGAAGTCACCTGTAGCTATTTGCTGAGTTCATAAGTTCAATTAATTCACATAATGGTGGTGGGTCCAGTTCACCATGGTATAGTGCTGCAGTACAAATGTCTGTAGCCTCCTTGAGTGGTAGCTTGGTGAAAATGTGAACGAGTACCTCTTTGTGTATGTGGAAAACTTGGATGAAACTGGTTGTTGCAACTCATCCAACCATTTTCTCAGTTCATGTTGTGTAGAACTGGTCACTGATAAAATAGCACGTAGACAGACATTAATTTTCTATCTCTTGAGCAGTCCACGTGTGCGTAGATGCAGTCAGAGAAG